TATCCACCTGGCCATGCCGGTCACCAGTCTCTAGGAGTGGAATGAAATGACACAAAAAATCATTTGCCCTTGTCCAGGGTTACTGATGAGGGTCGTAATTATCCAAGACCTATATAACTGAGTAACAAGCAATTAATCAAAGGATAGATTGGGCTTCATATTTATTTTTATTATTTATGCATCAAATTGCTTATGAGTCCATGACTTTGCTGGTTACAGGGCTCCTAATGAGTCATATAGCATAATGAAAAGGGTTTATCCATAAATAAGTTTAGCCCTTTCGCAATGGGCTCGGTATAATTTACACGAGTTCATATACACGTTTGCACACGTTAAGTATTTATACAATAACATTTAGTTCAGTATGTGCATCTTCACAAAATTTGGTGTACCTTTAGTACACATTACAAGTCTTTTGTACACAAAAAATCAAGTTTTTTAATGAAGTATTTTTGAGTCATACCGCATAAGTCATTAAAAACACCATTAAAATTGCAGTTAATCTCATTAATGACTGTTGGGTCACTTATGTATTTTACATAGAAAGTTTTAGATTTGTGACGGATTTATTATTCTATATTTGTTTTGATATCGATGTTTGTTTGAATTTAATTTATATTTAGAAAATAGCATGGCTAAAAGTGTTAAATATGTATGGCAAAACTTCCGCCTATTCTCTAAAGTTGTAGAAGATTCTCGAGAGTAAGAATCAACAATATATGTACCTACATAAACGCTTAGATGTAGCTTTGTATTGTTAGGTAATCTGAATTTTCTAGAAAGGCCTTCACACGTCTATAACTATAACCAACGCGACGCGCCAAAAAAGTATCTATTATTAGTTTGCTATAGTCAGTGTGCTATACACTTTGAAAGCTGTAATTGTGATTGTTATAACGCTTATCAATCGGAAAACTTCAGATATTTGACTAAGAGCATTTACAAAGTTCAATTATTACAACTCATTTAACTTCAGTGGATTCTCATAGGACATTAGTATTTTTACGAAACTTTACATAACGTCACAGTGAAAAACTCGGCGTGTGTGGCTGGTAAATAACGAAATACAAAGCTAGCTAGCTCCCTGTTAAGTGAATTATACTTACGTCAACTCGTAATCAACTCGCTCATCGTGAACTCTCGATAAGATATCGAAGAAGTTCCAGACTAGAAATAAAACTTTGTATTGCATGTAAGTTTGTAAAACTTTTGTATATAAATCATTGCGTGTAAAAACTGTTATTGTAAATTGTATTGTTGTTTGTATATTAAAACATATTTGTGTTAAAAAAGAAAACTGTTTGTATCAATCTTTTTGTCAAATATCATAAACTGACTATATATCGGCTTTTACTTATCTGCTAAATCCAAAGTACAATTTAAATATTAAATTTAAAGTATCATTTAGCTCGGTTTCAGACCTTTCGAAACTGTAATACATAACAGATTTCATTTAATATTTTTTGGTCAGTATTTTTTTACTCTGAATGCCGTAACAAGGAAAAACATAAAATTAATCAATATCATAGAATGATAAAGTTAAATAACCATTTTGATAGTATCCAGGTGTACCTTACGGAAGTTATCTGACTTATGTTACCTTAAGTTTGGTTTTGTTATTATTAAGGAAACTAAGATAATCTGAAGTTGTCAGAACCTTTTGTTTTGGTATTTTTTTAAGTTTAAATAGTTGATCTTCGCTCCCTTTTACTTAAACTATTCAGCAAATACCTTTCTGAACAAGTTATTATGAGGTCTTATGATTATCTCGTACCTTCTAGCCATTGTTACAGACCAACACTCCAGAGCTCTTTGTATTGTTGTAAAAAAGAGTCATTAGGTCATTAGCTGTAGAAGTCATTATCAATGAAAATATCTGCTTTATCTTTTGAGCTGAAACTGATACCGAAGAAATCAGCATACATTGTTTAGCTTTTCTCAGCTTCTTCAGAATTATTAACTTCTTTATTCCGTATGTTAAATTACTTAGTTTTCTGCTTCACCAAATACCTACTTCAGGTTTAGGGTGGTGGATGTCCAAGAGTACAACTGCTTTGGTTCTAAGTACTAATCGCACCTAGAACATCTCAATATAAACTTTATTTTTTTTACTTAGGGTTCTATCTAGCCATTTAACACTATATTGAGCCCGGACATTTGGAGGAGATGACTTAAATCATCTTCGTGTGTGCCTCTAAATAAGGAAAGATAACCTGATAACTACACTGTTTTGATTTTTTTTCTTTTGGGCTTCTCTGAATTTTCTACTAATAGTTCGACTAGATGTGTCTCTTTTTGGCCTATTGGGTGGATGACCATTTACCTTGGCCTTTCCACAAATGCCTCTTTTTATAACTAGTTGTTTTGTGATTTTTGACATGGTTATGGAAAGTCGTCTCAAACTGGGATATGGTGCTTCAATCACCCTGGAAATGTTTCTCTATGGACCATATTCTTTTTAGCATTTTTTTTTATCTTGAATAATTATTTATTTTATAGCTACCTCCACAAGCAATTATGGCCCCAATCACACATTTTTTCTTCTCCTTGATTAGGATCTTCTTAAGCGCATATAACCCATCAGCCTGTGAAGAAGTGTCTGTCTCGTTCTCTTATATGCATTAGTATTCGCGGTTTGTCATTAGTGGCAATTGTTTTGTGATAGGACCCTACCGAGGAAACTTTTTTTTTTCTTCTTCACTTCATAAACTTAGTCATATGCTTAGCAAACAGTTTAAATTTTGGCACATTTTCATTGGTATTTTTGTTTGCTGAACATTGTGGACAAATTTGTAAGGTTAAGGTGAGTGTTATTAAAGCCTTTTGTTTGAATAGTTTTAAAATGCCAAGTCTAATACTTTTACAGAAAATGGGCCCTGTAGCTTCTCTGTGGTAAAAATAAAACAGAATCTATTCTGGCTAATCCTTTAGGAAATTTGTTTCAGATGATTAGTTTCTCATCCACTCCGAGGCTGCATTCTCTTTCTCCAACTGTTAAAAATATTATGATATAATAAAGTGACCGCCAATCCCACTATTCGTTGGTAAAAGAGTAGTTCAAGAGTTGACGGTGGGTGGTGTTGACTAGTTTCCTTCCGTCTGGTCTATCACTATTAAATTAGGGATGACTAGAGCAAATAGCTCCCAAGTAGCTTTGGGCGAGATTCAAAACCAAACCAAATCAAAAACTGCCCACCGGTTGTATTGATAGCCGATTTTTAGCCTTATAAGCTCTCAAATCTAGTGCTGAGCATTTGTTTTCAGCGCAGAGCTACGCAATAGTGCATCTTCAGAATTTGGTTACGATTTTTGTTTTAAAGCGTAATCAGTAATACTTTAAAAAGGTTTATAGGACATTTGCCGTCAATAAGAAAACTTAATTGTAATGTTAGTAATGATGTAGTTGAACAAAATTTGTTTTACTTTTAATTTTTTAATCGTATTTATTGACTTTCCACCAAAATGATTTGCGTAACTTATTGATTTGATTTATCTTTCCAATTTAAATTTTCATTACAAGCACCACATAAATACTTTATAAGTTAATTTTTATAATAAATTATA